ACCTTTTTGCAGAAAATATTTTCTACAATAAAGGTGCAACATCAGAGTACAGCTGTCAAGATCTGTTTAACACTGTCCAGTTATTAGCTGAGCTGGCACCTCAGATTTGTGATTGATTACACCCTGTGATTTAGCCTGGAGCTGTGTTTTTTTTTTTTTTGTGGACTTTTGCCTGGACAGTGTTCAGAATGAGGCCTAAGCATTCTAGGCGAAGGGAAGGTTTGAAAGCAGACTTTTGAAAAATGATTACACAACTGAAAACCTGAAGCATATGAATAGTCCTTTAGACATTTTCACATGGTTTAAGGGGAGATTTGTCCTTCTTAAGAAGATTCTCTAGGTGTCCTGTTACCTGAATGTTGCTGAGAAGGCAAGAAGGGATACCTTTGTTAACACTCTAGGTGCAGAGGATAAGCCAAAGGGCAGTTCCACCAATTGGAAATGTTTCTGTCCTGCTGTGAAGTGCAGGAGGCATTGATGAGGCAAGTAAACAGAAATATGTAGATAAGAATCTTGAAAATCTATGAAAACTAAGCATTCCTCTTTTCTCAGAGGCAATAACCAACCTTACGGAATTCTAGCACCAGGACAGGATGAATATCCTCGTTAGATTTGTAGACTTGTTCACAGTGCCAAAACCCGACTTTCCTTGAGAATATTTAGATTGCATTAAAAAGAGAAAACACTGAAGGAGGGTAGAGTTTTGAACTCTTTTGTAGGTTTTGTGTTTCAGGTCTTGTGCCATAAATGGACCATGTTTTGGCTTTAAACATGAAGCCTGTTGAGGAGAGCCACACAGCAATCTTTTTGAGGAGGCAGAGACCCTGATGAAAGGTTTGGAACATTCAATATCTCACCAAACAGATGTCCTTGTGACGTTTCCAAGCAGCTTCAGCTGACAAGGATTCTGCACATGGACAGAAATTACAGTCATTCCGGAAATCTGTTTCATGACTTATTCTAGGGCAGACAACGATAAAGTAGAACTCTAGGCAACACTTTTTTCTTCATTTTGGATAGAGCCCCATTAGAGATTTACCTTCACTTCCTGTCCCACAACCAAACAGGAAGTGAGAGGAAATTACTGAAACTTAAGGAAATTCCCTGGGGACCCCCAGGTCACCAGAACCAGGGGCCCTATTGGAAGATTTCCCCTCTATTACTTTTCTGGGGACAACCCAAAATTTTGTTTTTTCTTTTACTTTAATAATAATGGTAAACAAGACAAATAGAGGGGGTGATTCTCCCTAACAGGGGCACAGACAGTAATAAAAACTGACATGGTTCTAATCCCTCTCCACTCTAAAGGCAAAACTTGTTTTTTTTTTTTAGCTTTGGATAGTTATACTTTAAAGGAGGTGGTGATCTACCTGAACAACATGGGAGAAGTCAAAGATCACAGGCCACAGTGCTGCCTCCTGACACCTGATATAAACCTCTAATTGCCATACTACCCGCGTCGCAATCCTGTGCATTGAACTGCAATCATGGGTTCAAATCAGATGTTGAGGAGGCAACATACTGTCTCCTCATCATCTATCAAACACACTCGGATTGCTTTTCAGAGGAGCAGCAATGCCTGCTGCGCTCGTGAATGAGCCCTTAGTTGCATTCGGCAGCGCCCCCCTCGGGCTTGTTCATATGTAAAGTTGGGGTGGTGGCAAAACCCTGCGGCTGAGTCGCGGCCTTACCGCCCCTATCCCTCCAATCCCCCCCCCCTTTTGCTGCTGAGGCACATGCCGCAGCGGAAACTATAACCCCCGTTACTTTTGGGGGGTGCTACTTGCTGCCAATTCAAATAAGTGGGGCTCTGCAACTGCATGCTTCTGCAGGGTCCAAGAAGTTAAAGCAGGTGGTGAGAAAGCAACACAACGCCGCTTTAACTGTATGCTGTACTGCACAATGTTGCAGCTGCATATAAAAGTTTTCGTTTGCTTTCAGAAACCCACAGGATATAACTGAAGTCTATAGCTAAGCGCAGCAAACCCGCAGGAAAGCTGCAGGTACACTGCATTTCACCCGTGGTGTGAGTAAACCGCAGAGCATCCATGTGAAAGCAGCCCTATACTACTATGCCCAGTGTATTGCTTCACACTGACCTGAAGATCTCCTCTTTCCTACTGATGTCACCACTCTGGAGACCACTAGCCGCAAGAAGAGGTGGAGTGCAGTTGGTATCACTCCGCATGGGAACAAAGCCAGCACTACAGAGGAGGCATGGGCTTATGCAGCGTTTGCTCCCTACTACAGCTTCAACTTTACAAGTAGTCCCTCTGCATTGCACTCTGTTTGATTTTCTGGGATGGCGGGTCAGCAAGCCCAGATCACAACCTACCAGTCACCTGGCCGCGATCTACGGGTTGCTGACCCCCGTTCCAGGGCATCAACACAAAAAAAGTAAGGTGTGGGGCAGTGTCTGCAAGTGCTTTAGTCCTGGAAAGCAGAATTCTGATCATTTCCAAAGCCCAGTTAGCTACGGTCTGGCAAACAGAAATAGCAGCAATAGCTAGTTGCAGAGCAGGACAAGTGAGGTTAAAAGGTGACTCCAGTAAAAGATATGTCAGACTTCAGCCATCCTCTGTAACAAAAATTTAATTTTTGATGAGATACTCCTAAACCGCTAATCACTTCTAAAGGTAATTGATACCCTGCAGTTTTCTTCATTAGAACACTGCAAGTGCATCTGCTGATTAATAATGAAAAAGTCACTCCCACTCAGATTCTTTCTGCACATTGGTGTAACCAAACAGCTTTCTCTCCAAAGCAGAAATGGTAGAAAACTAACAAAATTTGGTAAAATCCTTGCGATGCACATCACCCAGAGTGGAGCTGCTCTTTAAGGAAAGCCTTTAAAAGCATTTCAAATTTTAGGTCAGTAAAATGTTTAAAATTAAGGAACATCTTCTACAGAAACATTTTAAGATTGAGACTGCAGGTTCAGCTACTGGAACTGACCACTATTTAGTGAATTATTTTTCCACTGGATAGTTTGGCAATGATCCTTAGGAGGAGTGAAATTGTGATAAGTTGCCCATTCTATTTGTTGGTGAATGAGAATGTCTTTTTAGATTTAGCAGGTCTCTTATTACCGAGGGGCATGGCAAAAAGGAGGAGAACTGAGTGAGACTATGCAGGTTTTGTGCACAGCAAAAGTGAGCATATCTACACTGGCCAACATACTGTGCGAAGTCTAAACATTAGGTATATATGAGTCTGGGAGAGGGAAAACTGATGTGGTCTCATGCGACACTAGCTCTGGGTCCTCCTCATTCACCTAAATGTCTGCATTCTCTAGCATAGGAATTTCACTTTCTGACTCAGTCAGAGATGGTTGTGAAAAAGGAGCTTGGAATTTTTGAGCTCTGGACAGGAATGGCTGTATTAAAGTCGTCAGTTTGCCCAAGAAAGTCTGCCTAGCCTAAACAGGCTGCTTGTTGTGTGTCTGAGATAGAGACAAGAATAGAATGAAAAAACCATATGAAAACAGGGTTCTGCTCCAGAGTAAGGGAAGCATCATCACTCTGAGTGGTTTTAGTGTTTTGTAGACCTTCGACAGAGGAAATGTTTGCCTCAGCTTTTGCCGTGATTCCCTTGTGCCTGGTTTCCAGCATTGCCATCAGAGAGGGTACTCCTCTGTGAGGTACAGAAAGGGGTTAGCGTGCCTATGAAGAAGTACGTATAGCAACCGAGGTGGTGAACGTCCCGTAGCAAAGTCCTTGCGGCAAAAAGGTTGTAGGAGTGCCCGAGTACCTTTAAAAAGGGGTCTAGGTGGACCTGGTGGTAATAACCAGCGCAACCTGCAGTGTGAGGTTACACCTAGTCATCCACCTAAGACTTATGCTGTGAATTGTGGAACTTTTACCACCAAGTTTTAAAAGTTTAGCACTTTATAAGTGAATAATCTGCACACACAATTCCTGGTTACCAGACTGTTACTGTAGAAATGAATTCTATTTAGGAAACATGTAATAAGTGAGGGTGAACCTATCTTACATGTCCATGCTGCTTGTCCATATTTGAGGTCCATGCCTCGCTTGTCATAGTGAACATACCCAAAGGGGGGGTATTTAGGGTCTGGGTTCCAAAGGCTTGGACCACTGCTTTGGAAATTTATAGTACCCTGTGACTAACTACACTCATCGCACATTGTGTTAAGGTGAGTGCCCAAGCAAGATCCAGTGTCTGAAATTTTACAGGCTGTCCCCATGGTGTTGGGTCCAAGCACAGCTCCCAAGATTTTACCAAGTTTACACCAATTCAGATGCACTGCTGCCACTGTTCTATTAAAAGGTAGTGAGAAGTTGACTGAAGAATTGATTGAAAAATCTGAAGTAAATTAATAAACTAACTAAGCATAGAATTATTTCTCTGTAAGAGAGAAAAGGTCCATTGCCTAAAGACACTAGAAAAATCTGAGTGGTGTAGAGTTAAAAGGATATACCCAGGCGGTGTGTCTAGCAAAGCTTAGCCAGTGTTTAATCACGTGAAGGTAGCAGCCCATAAACCAGGGTCTAGGACGGGTGGCGAACACGCGGCTCTCGAGCCGCGTGCGGCTCCCGGCAAAAATGAATGCGGCTCTTTGCCTCTTATCATATTTTGTATACTGTGGCTCTTTGCCCAGTTTCACGTTTTCTCTTATTTTTACCTGTTCCTCTATCCAGCGGCGCGCTGTCTTCCAGCTTCTGTAGTGTGGGCACTGGGCATGACAGCCGGGTGCCAAGTGCGCATGCGCAAGAAGCGGTGCTTCTTGTGAATGGTAAGGCAGTACCTGGGACACATGACAGATCCCAGAAGCCGCCGGACCAATCACAAAGCGCAAGTGCTTCTCGCTCATGCGCACTGGGCACCCGGCTGTCATGCCGAGCGCCATTACAGAAGCCGGGAAGACAACGCGCGGCTGGATCGAGGAACAGGTAAGATCAAACAAAAACTCTGCGGAAGTAAGAGTGGGTACCTGTCAAATTCAGGTACCCGCTCCCCACCTCCCCAAAGGTCAGCAGTCATCTGTACTGTCCGCAGTCTCTGGTCATCCCTGTGCTGTCCGCAGTCTCTGGTCATCCCTGTGCTGTCCGCAGTCTCTGGTCATCCCTGTGCTGTCCGCAGTCTCTGGTCATCCCTGTGCTGTCCGCAGTCTCTGGTCATCTCCTGTACTGTGTCTGCAGTCCATTAGTTCAGAATTTTTTTTTGTATACTTGTGTGTTAGAGTGAGAGAGAGAAGGGAGAGAGAGAGAGAGACAGGTGCCACAGCAACCTCCAGGGTAGTTGATGTGTTAACTCTGGCTAAGTTGCATTTGATGTGTGTGTTGAGGGTGGACACTTACCTTGAAATGAACACATTGTTGTTTTGTAAGGGGAAGAAAGTGTTATGGTGAATAATATGGTTTTAATTATGTGTTTTTGTGTGAGTGTTTGTCTGTTTTGGCAGGTCACTGCGTGGTGTGGCTCTCTGACTTTCACAGTTTAAAATTTTGGTTCTTTGTGTCTAACTTGTTCGCCACCCCTGGTCTAGGACTATCCAGCTTGTGTCATGTACAATGAAGATAACTAATTTTACACTATAATGACCATTCTATAAGCCCTATTACAGATGCAGTCTGGATGCAGTAGCACACCCAGTGTGTCTCAAATAATGTCCATGATCAGCTTGCATGTCAAAGGCTTACTCAACAAGAATAAAGGGCCTGCAGAGCAATGAAAAATAAATTAGTGGCATCAAATTGTAACTAGTTGCTGCACTGCACTTGAGTCAGCGCTCAAGACAAGTTGCAATAAGTGCTTGTATGCGCTGGGCCTCTACGAAGCCCGACACCTGGATAATGGTTGTTCGGTGTGAAGAATGCTCATATACAACCTTATTTGAAGGTCATACATACAAAACCTAAACCAGAATGCCATATCCAGCAGGTTTAAATTCTAGGCTAAACCTAACTAGTCTGGAAAACAAAAAAAATTCCCTTCCCTCTCCTAATATTTATGCTGATTCACCTGTGTAAGAAAGATGTACGAGGTGTGGCAATTTAATTCCCGGAATGGACCGGTACTAATTTTGTCAAACATCTCTGCATTCTTCCAAAGACTGCATGAAATCTGAAAACGTCACTCTCTCTCTGATCTTCTGTCTCTCTCAGTCCCAAACCCTCCATTGAAATCTGCCGCACTGTCTCCCTGTTCATGTTCAGTTCTTCTGTCATCATTCGCACACTCATTCTTCAATCTGAGTGTGAGAGGGTTCACACACTGTCCACATTTGTGTCTGTCCTTTGCGTTTTTGACTGCCTATTTCTTGCATCATCAAGGAAATCTTCCCGCCCCTCCATAAACCTCCTTTGCCATTCAAAAACACTTAATTTCTTCATGGAATGTTCACCATAGCCCTGTTATAACAGAGCTAAAGTTTCACTTGCACTTTTTTCCAATTTTCACACAAAACGTGATGTTCTACTACACCCGTTCCTGTTCCTGATTCCTGTCACTCATTGTCCGCCAAGAGTGCAACACACGTTATCTCTTTTACTTTGTAAAGACTGAGTCGACTGGTCTGTAACTGGTGGTGAGTGCAAATTAGTACATGTCAGAACACGCTCGAGTGTGAATGGTTGTGTGCACCATAGGCTACGCTGCAGGCATTCTGGAAATTGAAATTGTTACACCTCTTACTTACTTGCTTATTTTCAGCCCACTTGAGTCGAGACATCTGATCCTCATTGTCAACCAGTAACAAACGGAGAGGAGAGATCCTTCGACAGTGGCTCAGTTCATAAATCCTGTGTTGGTGACATCACCCACAGGCTCCTATGGCCCATCTATTGTCTACACTCTCTCCTCTCCATTGCAGTCTGTGCTGACACACACAGGAGAGTCAGATCACATTATCAGACCAACGCAGGCTGAAAACAGGTAATTATATACATATTTTTACACAGGATAGTCAGCATAGGTGTTAGGAGAGGGGAGGGAGTATTTTTAAAGGCTATTCAGATTTATCCTGGAACTCTATTTTAAATGTAATGAACAGATATCCAATTGGCTACAATAAATACCTGCATTTTGAAATAACATACTAAAATGCAATATGCATTGTAATAGGATGGTATTTAAATTTTTTGTTGCGCAATATTTGTCAACTGTTTAACAGACCCATATTTTCAGTAAAAAAATGACACAAAAATGAATTTCAGTGCATGAAAACACAATATAAACCATGATATTTATTTTGTACAAAACAAAGTCGTGTTGAGTAAATAAATACCAAATATGTCAAACCTCAAAACTGTGTGCATCCATATAACAAAACATTACAGTACCCCAAATTATCAACAGGCAGTGCTTTCAATGCTCACCAGTTTAGAGTTAACTGTAAATGATGGACCAACATTTTTTATCTCTCACCAATATGTGCTGAGCATTCTGTGTTTATATACTGTATACATGAGCACCCCACACGTTTCTGTGTGTGCAGGGCAGAACAGTACTTTGAATTTTTGTCTTATTTTTATTATAGTCAAAATTGTAGATACATTTGTTTTTTTTTTTTCACTTAACTTTATTAATATTATAAAAAAAGACCCTTATGTGATAGCATTGGTAGGTGACAGGTACCCTTTATGGGGACATCAGGCATTTTCAAGACCTCCAATGTCTTTCCTGTCCTCAGAGCAGAATGCTTCTAGTTACATGAGGAATGGATGTACCTTGATGTTCTGCTCGCCATCCTGGCAGGTTTTTTGTGGTATTATAAAACAACAGACAAAGAGCGCGACCTAGCGCAGTACCTTTGTAAACACTTTATTAATAAATAAAAGTAATATACTCACAAACGCATAGTGTCAACATGCATATCAAATAATCAAGATGCCACTTTTTGCCAGATCTGCAATGCTTAGCTTGTGCCATCTAATCTTTTGGCTCTGAAGAACTGGGGTTGCCCCTCGAAACATGTTAGCCATACTGGATGCTAAAGGGTATTCCCGTGCTACAAGCTTAGTGTTGCAGATTTGACAACAGTCACACCTTGATTATTTGATATGCCTGTTGACACTATGCGTTTGTGAGAATATTACTTGCTTTTATTTACTAATAAAGTATTTACAAAAGTAATGCGCTAGGCAGGCACCCCCTGTCTATGATTTATAGTGCTGCATGTGAAGGAACACCCTCAATTCTAAGAGGGCAGCAAGGCATCACAGCGCTAGTGGAAAACTTAGCAAGCTCTATGCAACACGCTTGAGCGCAGGAGATTGCTTTTACAGGGTTTTTGTGGTCCATGGCTCCTAGAAGGTAAAAAAAAAGCCCAGGAATCCTAAAGGAGGGATCTGGCAGAGCCACCATCTCGCACATCCCAAGTAATTGAGTAGCATTACAGCGACACAAAATAGCAAATAGCTTACAGCCTATTAGAAACCTGGGGTGTATGAGACATCTGACATTTATTTCCATTATTTCCTCCTAACTGTGAAAAGAATCAAAGTTCTTACCCTTTATTATCAATAGGATGTGAGCCCATTATTAAAGGAGCAATTGGCAGCTTGTACATGGCAGAAGTGGATTCAATTGTGACAGAAACATTCAGGCCCAGAGATCGGGGAAGTGCTAAACAAGATAAAATAATTAAAAAATGACAAAATTAGGCATAAACAAGATAAGGAGCACATATAGATGCCCCCATTAACATATACAGTACTGTTCAAAGACTTAAAGATACTGAAAAAATGCTGTAAAGCAGGATTTCATAAAAAAAAAATACCTAGAAGTACAGTAACTAGGGGGGAAAAAAACCCCAAAAAACTAAATTTGGGGTGGACAGCTTTTGTTTTTATCCCTTTCATTGCCTATTACTGCAATTTATTTCCTTTTTTATTTTTCTCTCACAACTTTCAGGGTTTGTTAAAGACCCCCCCAAACCATACATTTTCTGAAAGCAAAAGACTAGTAGAATAAAATGGTGCTATTGATTTTGTAGGTCCCGTGACTAAATCAAAACAATATTTTCAATTAAAATACACTAAAATCATTATTAGCACTCACAAACAGAGCATAACTTACAACATTCCTACTAAACCTAAAAGTTAACCACATGCTGCTTGGAAAGTTTGACTCCCTTCATGACCAGGGCATTTTCTTGCTATTTAGCACTGTGCTACTTTAACTGGCAATTGTTAGGTAATGTAGAACTGTACCCAAATGAAATCTGTATCATTTTTTGAACACAAATATAGCTTTCTTTGGTGGTATTTTATCACCACTGGGTTTTTTTTATTTTTTGCTATATAAATTAAAAATATACCGAAAATTGTCAAAAAAAGGCGTGAAGGTGAAAAAATAATCTTTCTTCATAAATTTAGACCAAAATTTAGTCTGCTACATTTCTTTAGTAAAAATAACCCAAATCAATGTACATTATTTCATCTGTGTGAAAGTTATAGAGTCTACAAACTATGATATATGTTTGAAAATTGATCAGTCCTGATGTACTGACATCTCATTTCTTGAGGCCCTAAAATGCCAGGACAGTACAAATACCCCCCAAACGACCCCTTTTTTGAAAATAGACAGTCGAAGGTTTTTAGTAAGAGGCGTGGCAAGTTTTTTTGAAGTTGTAATTTTTCTCACTTTTTTTTTTTTTGAAAAATGAAAAAAGTAACCACTTTCCCTCCGCCCTATAGCAGTTTTACTGGTACAAGGCAGCATTCCTGTGCAAAATCACGTAAATAAACATAATTTTGCACTTCCGCCACAAGGGCACGCGTGACACCAGAGGAAATCTTCAGCTGTAAACTGTCACAGCACAAAACAATCTACAAGCCACGGCGAGCACCTGCAGATCATTGGTCAGGGAGGAAGAACAGAGCTGTATCTGTTTACATCTGTTGTGACAGGGGAAAGTCATGAATCGTCTCTCTGCAGAGCTGGGAGCACCATCCATCACTTCCCATAGTAAAAGCACCACCTAGTGTACATCAAGCATAAAGCTAGACACACACTTAACCCTTTGATCACCCTAGATGTTAACCCCTTCCCAACCAGTGTCATTAGTACAGTGATCAGTGCATATTTTTACCACGGATCACTGTATTAGTGTCACTGGTTCCCACAAAGTGTCAGTTACTGTAAAAAAGTTCACCGCAATATCGCAGTCCCGCTTCGCCACCATTA